TGAATAGTAAGTTAAAAAAATAATGATTTTAAAAAAAATGGTGCTCCAATTGCAGACAGAAGGAAAAGATGCGTAATATTAAAAACAATGAATAACTACTGAAAGCAGCCAATTACATTAAATAAAAATCAAAAATCGATATTTTCTATTCTTTTTCTCACGATGTCCAGAGCTCTGATTACTATTTGTACAGTCTAAATTTTTATTCTCCACATCCAGTTAATCTCGATCTCCAGGTCCTTGTATTTGGACAATTTCTCGATAATTTTCATGAAGGTGTTTCTCTCAGATGGCACTGCTATATCAATAAGCATACACTTCCTGAATTTCTTGTTTTTTATGATAATATCAGGTCTGTTGGCTTTTATTTCCCTGTCAGTTTGAATTGACATGTCCCAGAGGATAGTTACATCGTTATTTTGGGTAACTGTGTCTGGTTGGTGCTCATACCATCTCTCAGTGGTTTCGATTTTGTGCTTCTTGCATATCTTCCAGTGCACATATGTCGCTACCTTGTTGTCTGTGGGTATGTTCATTTTTTGCTAGTTCCAGACATCCTGAGATAATATAGTCGACAGTTTTTTCATATATTTTCCGCAGATCCTGCATTTCGGGTTAATTCAATCCTTGATTATATGACAGTCATAGGATCTGGTTGAGAGGTTTTGGTCCTGAGCTGTAATAATTAGGCCTTCTGCCTCAGCTTTCAACCCGATGCTCCTTAGCCACTGATGTGTTTTCTTTTGGTTCACATCTGCCTCTTTCGTTGTTTTTAGGTATTTGTCATACAACGCTTTGGCCTCCCAGGTTATTTTTATTTATTTATTTATTTTTTGTAATTTCATTTGGCTAAGTTGTTTTGCTTTCAGTTTTACACATTTGGTATAGATGGTATTAGTTTATTCTTTATGGCATGGGCTTCCAGGAATCCCTCCAATGAGTCTTTTAGAATCTTTTCCAATCAATTCGAGGGCTTCAAATTACAACTTTAGTTGTTGATGCCTCATGTGACACATTTTGGAGATTTTTTGTTTGTTTGTAGGATTTCAGATATATTCAGCTGTTTCTTGAAGAGTTCAGCTTCTTTGTTGATGGAGTAGATTTAGTGTTTTACCATTTGTAGGAGAGGGCCATTGTTTTTTGGGTGTAAGCTTCCAATTCGACTGTTGTAGTTTTCAGAGTTCAAGTTGGATTAGACCTCAGCCTCCTAAGGATTATTATTATTATTATTATTATTTCTGCTGTATAATTATTTCCATCCGAGTCTGTTATAGTGGAACACACCTATTCTATAGTTAACAGACTCTCCCACCTATAATAAGTAGGAGTAGGAAGAGTAACGTGGAAGTCGCTCAGTGAGTTGGTCAGTCAGTCGATGCCGGACGACCGTTAGTCGGATATTAAAGTATCAGCAACCACAACTAGATTTCTTTGCGTTATACCTATTATATCAAGTTCCTAACGTTTTGTACGTCGAACCTATTTTAGAACCGACTTAGTACAAATACAAGCCTCCACTGTGAAATCACTCTATAACAGGGTCCCAACCTCAAGTGGAACTCATATATACGATGATGGAAAAATGGTCTTTTCCCTGTACCGCTACCGAACTATCCTCTACCTTTATAAGAGCCAGGTCAAGCCTAAAATGAAGTATGGGCGGAAGCTGTCCAGTCCTCGTTTTCCAGCCAAAAGCGTCCCTGCGTTCTTGTGGGTGACACATTATTTCCCAGACTACAAACCCATTTCTCGCAGGCGAAACGCCACAAGCCTCTCGCTGCTCTATCGCTATTTCCATGGAAACTGTTCGGAGGAAGTAGATTCCTTAGTTCCACCAGTTCTAATCTCCACGACTAAGACCCGCCATGCTACGCACATTGTAGCGAACCACCCTAATACTCTTCGTATTCTATTTGTGAGATGTAAGTTCCACTCGAGCAGCTTCTTCTCGTGAACCACTCCCACGAAGGTGCTTTCTCGGTCACTACAATCTTAACCTTTCGAAGTCACGGATTATCCATTATCTTCCCCACATGTCCGTATAAACTGTGCCTCTTACTCTGTAACACTCTACCTCGGGTGGTTCAAGGGCCTTTTACAATGTGAACATCATTGCAAAAAAAAAAAAAAAAAAAATACAGAGACCTAAGATCTGAAATGGCATCATGACATTTTCCAATGAAACGTTGTGTAAAAAATAAAATGAAATAAAATAAAATAAAATGAGATGAAATAAAATAAAATGAAATATAATAAAATAAATGAAATGAAATAAAATAAAATAAAATAAAATAAAAAATAAAATAAAATGAAATAAAATGAAATAAAATAAAATAAAATAAAATAAAATAATGAAATAAAATAAAATAAAATAAAATATAAAATGAAATAAAATAAAATAAAATAAATAAAATGAAATAAAATAAAATAAATGAAATGAAATAAAATAAAATAAAATAAAGTGAAATGAAATAAAATAAAATAAAATAAATAAAATGAAATAAAATAATATGAATGAAATGAAATGAAAAAAAATAAAATAATATAAAATGAAATAAAATATAATAAAATAAAATGAAATAAAATAAAATAAAATAACCTAAAAATACAAATAAAGCCCTTCGTAAGATGTGAGGTGTACTTGTGAGAACATTTTTTTATTTCTTTAAGACAGGACCCTTTCCAATTAAACTCGTCGCACGAAACACAAATTATTATGTCTTCATATACCATACTTTTAAGATTTCTTGAATCTTTTCATTTCTTTAAATAATGACCTGCTTTCATACTTAAGATTGTTATTGTAATATTTGGTTAAAGTTTTAATCTTAAGTATTTAACAATGCAATAGAGGAAATTACACGGGTATTTTGCAGTAGTGAAGTTCATTATTCATTATATATTATACATCAAAAAAATCAAATAGAAAATCCATGAAATGTTGAAGGACACTGCGAGATATTATTATTATTATTATTATTATTATTATTATTATTATTATTATTTTCTTTGATTTCTGCTGTGTACTCGTTTCTTTCCGGGTCTCCATCAGAGACCTTAGGTCAGAAATGGCATCATGACATTTTCCACTGAGTGTTTTTGAGAAAGAAAATAAAAAAAAATCCAAGGTCACACATATTTTAAGGCCCTTCGTAAGGTGTGAGCTGTACTTGTGAGTACATTTTTTTTGTATTTCTTTACGGCATGGGCTTCCAGGAATCCCTTCAATGAGTCTATTGGAATCATTTCCAATCAATCCGAGGGCTCCAACTACGACTACAATTGTTGATGTCCTCATGTGCTACATTTTTGAGATTTCTAGTTCATGGTCCTTGTACTTTGATAGCTTTGTGAAGATCTTCAAAGATACAGTCTGCAGGGACTTCCATATCAATAAAAAGGCACAGTTTGTCTTTGCGGTCTCTAATCACGATGTCTGGGCGATTAGCTTTGATTGTTCTGTATGTGTGTATTGTAAAGACACATATTATTATTATTATTATTATTATTATTATTATTATTTTAAACAATCTTTTTTTTACCTACATTTGTTTTATAATCCCATGCTAGGCCATAACCAAGGACTTAGGACAAGCGAACGATGTGATTTTTTATTGGTTCCATTTGAACAAAAAACAGCTATTAGCAAGAGCAAAAAAAAAAAGAAGCAAAAACAAACTTAAATGGACAAAGTTCTTAGCAGAATATGTACTGTGTTTGCTAGAACTGTGTTTGCTAGAACTGTGTGGAGAATTTCCTGGAGAATGGTACAGCAGGGATTTTGTTGATTTGTTGTTGAGTTTCTTTCTTGAGTAGACCCAAAACTCCAGCCGCGACAGTAACATTTTTTAGTTTTTAAGTGCCACATTTTTTCTATTTCCAAGTCTTTGCATTTGGTTAGTTTTTCAAAAACCTTCACAGAGATGTTTTTGTCACTTGGTACGCTAATCTCAATCAGTATGCAAACTTATTTTTCTTTTCTGTCGTTATCAAGGCATATATGTGTTGCCTTGATAAAGTCCCTCAGATGACGCAACGCGCCGACTAAGATAATATCTCTGTAATCGGGTCTGGGTGGTGTTCATACTAATTTTATTCAGTTTCCTTTCCGTAGAAGTTGCAGATTTTCCAGTGCAGATATTGGCTCACTCTGTCATGCCGGGTTTTATATTCAGTCGGTGTTAATACCATTATTATAATATTATACCAATCCTTAATAATGTTTCTCTCTCTTTTTTTTTTTGTTATTCTTTCACTCAGTAACTCCTTGTGTCTTAGTGACTTTATTGCCTTGCTTGATGTCAAAAGATAAAAAAAATAAATAAATAAAATAACTTTATAACCGGCCTCAATATTATCGAAGATTCCAGCAGTTTCTACAGTGTCTATCATGCCTTGAATTTGAAATTAATCCATATACTTTTTGTATTTTAATTTTTTTTATGCTGAGCATATTATGGCTGCGCCCACAACCTTCATAATACTCAAAACCTTGGAAACCTTGATTGATTCGTTTTTTACGGCTTTGCAGGCTATTTAAAACCCCAAAATATTTTTAGATCGTAAATTTTTTTTTCTCCATAATAATGATTTTATTGGTATAAACCGTATTAATTAACCCATAGCTGGGAGGAGAAGAAGCAGATTCATATCTTTCTCAAGGTTATTTGCGCGTAACTCGGCTCTCCGACTAACAATCCCGAGCCACATATTCATTTCACCACCTGCACATCCATATTTACAGCAGCTGGTATTACTAAGCTGTCATCCATCTATGAACTGACTAGGCTCTCCTTTGCTTAACTTCGGTGATCGTACGGGAACTTGTGTTTCAACGTGATGTGACCGTAAGACTTGGGAACCTTGGACCTATCGTTCGAGAACGAGTGACAGCAAGTCTTGTCATATTTAGATCCAGGATATTCAGTTTTTTTTCGAGCATTATTATTATCATCATTATTATTTTAACGCCCCCACCCCACGACTTCTTTTTCCTTTAGTCTCAGTCCCTCCCCCCCCTCCTTGTTGTTGTTGTTGTTGTTCCTCTCTTCTTCTTCTTCTTCTTCTTCTTCTTCTTCACTCCCAACATACTCTTGCTTTTCCTTCTTCTTTACTTCCAGTGTCTACCTCCTCTTTTTGTCCTTTATTCCCAGCGTCCTCCTCCTCCTCCTCGCCTCACTTCCTCTTCTTTAGTTTCAGCTCTCCTACTCATCTCCTCCTTTACTCCCAGTGATCTTATCCTCCTCTTCTCTACTCCCAGCGCCTTCTTTTTCATCACCTTTACTCCTCCTCCTAGTCTTCTTTACTCCCGGCGTCCTCCCCCTCTTCATCTGCTTTACTACCATCTTCCTCTTCTTTTTTCTTTTTTATTCACTGTCGCTCTCCTCCTCCTGTTGTAGTTCTTCATTTTCAGCGTATGCCCCCTCTTCTCCTCTTCTTAACTCCCATCCTCTTTCTTCTTTACTCCCAGAGACCTTAACCTCCACTTCGCTACTCCCAGCGGCTTCTTTTTCTTCTTTTTCTCCATAACGTTTACTTCTCTTCCTCCTCTTCTTTACTCCCGACGTTTACTTCTCTTCCTCCTCTTTTTTACTCCCAACATTTACCTCTTCCTCCTCTTCTTAATTCCAGCATTTTTCTCCCAGAACCCCTCCTCATGTTCTTGTTCTTTAGTCTCAGCGTTCTATTCACCCACTCCTCCTGGTGTATTCCTGTACTCCTCTCTTTCTCTTTTACTTTACTCCCACCACCCTTATCCTCCCCTTCTCTACGCCTTTTTTTTCTTGTTCACCATTTCTCCTTCTTTTTTTCTCGTCGTTGTCGTCCTCCTCCTCCTTCTTTAAGCCCATGCCCTCTTTTTTTTTACACCCCGCCTCCTTCTGCTCTTTTTATTGTTGTTTTTGCCGTTTCTTACTAACGTCCTCTTCCCCCATTTCTCTTTATTCCCTCTTTTTTTTCATCCTCCATTTTTTGTTCTTGTCCTTCGTTACTTCCAGCCTCCTCCCCAACTCCTCCTCCTCCTCCTCCTTCTTCTTCTTCTTCTTCTTCTTCTTCACTGCTTCGTAACCTCTTCCTCTTCTTACTACTCACTACCAATTCTTCTGTTTCTCCTTTATTTGTACGTCACTTTTTCGTCAGTGCCGTATTTCCCCCGTTCTAATGTTAGTAACGATTTTCAAGGGCGCGTGCCGTTCGAATCCTGATTAAAATTACGCTCAGTATCGCAAAATTTCGTCACAGGCGCCTCCACACACCAACCATCTCTTTGTTCCGTAAACGATTTTAGCGCTCACTCCTCCCCACCACACACAGAGGCACGCACGCGCGAGAATACGCAAACGCACATACACGGCACTGTATATGTCTATACTTGTTGATTCATTTATTTTTTCAGAGTGCAAATACACTAAAACTTGTAATAAAGTATATATATATATATATATATATATATATATATATATATATATATATACACACATATATATATATATATATATATATATATATATATATATATATATATATATATATATATATAAAGTAACTATTTCTAATTTCAACAATACAATAATAATAATGATAATAACATTTGAAAGAGACAAAAAACAAGCGATACTTGTTAAATAATGATAATTAATAAAATAATCATTAAAAAAACAAAATATTATTATTGTAATTATTATTATTACCAAGTAACTCAAACAAATCTGCGAAGCTTTTCAATAAAAGACTGACAAGCAAATACAAAGGCCTGAAGATGAAAATAAAAAAAGAAAAAACAAAAATAAAAATAAAAAATATAATATAAAAAATAGAAATAAAAAAATAAAAATGTTCCTGTTGTGGTTGGAGCTTTGGGTCTGATAAAGAAAGGAACTCAACAACAAATCAATAAAATTCCTTGTGCACCATCTTCCCAGAAAATCTAAAAAAAAAAAAAAAAAAAAAAATCCTAACAAGCACATCGCATATCCCAAGAAGATCTTTGTCCAATTCATTTTTAGTTAAAAGCTGTCTTTTGTTTAATGAAGTGGAAAAAGAAAATCGCAACGTTCGCTTACCCTAGGTCATTGATTATAACCCAGCATTGGATTATGAAACTAATGCAGGCCAAAAAGGACATATTTCAATAATAATAATAATAATAATAATAATAATAATAATGTGTGTGTGTGTTTTGTTTTGTTTTTTTTACCAAAATGATCAGTGGAAAATGTCATGAAGCTATTTCTGACCTTAGGTTTCTGGTTGGGACCCAGAAAGAAATGTGTATACAACAGAAATCAAAGGAAATAATAATAATTATAATTGTTATAAAGAATAATAATAGTAATTTTTAAAATAATAATAATTGTTTTAAACAATATTAATAATAATAATAATAATATTTTTTAAAATAATAATACTTGTTTTAAATAATAACGATAATAATAATTTTAAAAATCATATTAATAATTATTTTAAATAATATTTTTAATAATATTATTTTTAAATAATAATAATTTTTAAAATAATAATAATAATGATAATGATTATTATAATTGTTATTATTTTACTAATAATAACGATTTTAAAATAATAAGAATTGTTTTAAATAATGATTTTTAAATAATTTTAAATAATAATTTTTTAAAAATAATAATTTTAAAATAATATTACTACTACAAATTATTATTTGTTCACTGTTATAATAATAATAATTATTATTATTATTATTATTAATAATAATAATAATAATAATATAGTCCTTTTTCCCTATGTTAGCTTCTCGTCTCACTGACAACGCGCTTTATGGAGAAAGTGGAAATGCCGTGAGTGATTGATAGACGGAGAGGAGTAGGCCACGCCCACCTTGACGAGTTTCCCATCTCTTCGACGGCTCTACTCTTACTTACCTACCAATAGGATCATCAACAGCATCACCATCTACATCGTCGCCATTTCTTCTGGTCGCAATAATAATAATAATAATAATAGCAAAAACAATATCAATTAAAAAGTGTATATTTTGGCTCGGGTGGGACTGGCTGAGAGACGGCGAATAGAGAGAGAGAGAGAGAAAGAGGGAGAGAAAGAGAGAGGGGTTTTTTTATATAGTGAAAAGACTTTTCGGGTTGATTTGATTAATGTGTGGGTTGTAATCTGGCACTAGTATTTAATGCCGTCCGTATCAAGTCTCTGACATTGGTGTGAAAGAGGAAAAACGACACACACACACTCGCCGGCACACACAGACACATGCTAACACCAAAAACATCGCCCAGACTAAATAGCTTGCTGGCTTCTTCGTTTTTGTTGTAACAATTTGCGTTATCTATCCAACCTCTTCATCGCCGCCATTGCCATCGCCGCCGACTTTGAACACGCTGCTTTTGACTTGGGGGAAAAAAGGGACCTTACACAGGTAAGCCTTAATGTTAAATTAAATTTTGTACTTTGGCTGTTTTAATTTTTTTTTAAGTACTTATTTTATAGTATACTCTGTGATAATGTCGTTAACTTACCCATTTTAAGCAGAGCGGCAAAAAAAATTGACTAAATCAGATGTTATAGGTAACTTCACTTTTTCGCGGGAAAACAGCATAGCATAATGAAAAAGACAACAAACTCAATAAAAACAATGTTTTATCGTCAAAATGTTTATGTTATTATTAAGAGAAAAGACCAAAGTATTTTTTTGATTATTTTTTAAAATTTTTTAATCCTTTCTAGCACGTTCGAAATTTTCGTTCAAAATCTCGTTTTCTGGGCGTAATCATTAAAAATTACTTTTTTTGCGTTCTTTTTCCGGCGAAAACACATTGATTTGGAAATTCTTCCAAAAATCAAATAATTGTCGGATTTTAATGAAACTTTCAGGACTTAGTTTCACCTGTTAAGTATGTGGATGTAGAGAAGGGCTTAATCAGGTATTAAGTCTTAAAGATTTCATATTCTATATTTTTTCATCTGATCCACTCAAAATGAACATTTTTAGATATAGGAAATTGTGGAGAGTCATGTCCGCCAACCCCCTGAAGGGACACGGTACATAGAAGAAGAATGTAAACATTTTCTGTTTTGATTTTAAATACACAATGGATTTTATGGCTTTTCGCTTCTATTGGAATGAGAACTATTTTTTTTTCGCAAATAAGACTTATATAAAAGTTTTAGAAGTATGTACTTCGGGAAATGAAAAATAATGACAAAAAGAAAAAAAAATGAAAAATTTGATTTGATTTGATATTGAATGAGTGGAATGATTTTTTTAGTCAAAAAATGGTGCAGGTATTCAATTGTCATAGACTGAGGCCAAGAGGTTGTCTTTTAGTCCCCAGTTTCAGCTATAAAGTGGGGGGGGGGGCTGAAGAACGCCCCACTGCTACCCCACCGCCCCCACAGTACCGTGGATAGTGTTTGATGATTAAAAAAAACAAACATTTTCCTCAAAACAAAGTGGTTAGAAATTATCCTACGAAAATGCAAAGTGAATACTTTTCTTTTTATATATATATATATATATATTATGAAATAATAATAATAATAATAATAATAATAATAATAATAATAATAATTGAAATAGAAATCTCGAAAATGTGGCATATGGGAACATCAACAATCCCTGTTGTAGTTGGAGCCCTAGGACTGGTTGGAAAAGATTGCAGTAGACTAATTGAAGGGATTCCTGGAAGTCCATGCCTCAAGGAGATACAAAAAATTGTTCTGACAAGTACAGCCCACATTTTACGAAGGGTTTTATCTATTTAAATTTTTTTTTTTTTTTGGCAGTGGAAAGTGTCATGATGCCATTTCTAACCTTAGGTCCCTGGGCGGGACCCGGAAAGAAATGTGTAAACGCCAGAAATCAAAGAAAATTAAAAATAATAATAATAAACGAAATGATTGTCGTAACTCTTGCAATATTTTTCAGCAGTTAAAAGAACAGAACGATTTAAGAAAAAGAAAAGAAAAAAAACGATGCTTCTCCAATATTAAGCAATATTTCGACGTTAGTACAAAGCCTTTTAATTTTTTTTTGAGATTTATATATTTTTATACTTGGATTTTTTTTTAAACATAACTTAAAGAAGACAGACATTCTGTCGAAATATTGTTTAATATATCTTTAAAAACTGTCCTTTTTCTTTTCTAAAATCACGATCTTCTCTTAACTGTTAATAAATGACAATAATAATAATAATAATAATAATAATAATAGCAGCAGCGTTGGGAATTATATCAAAACGATTTAAAAAGAAGCCCTAAAATATGGGAATTGCAAAAAACACATATTCCTGATTATTTCTCATATCTTGCGCAGATTTCCCTCTATACAATGTCCACAATTACATGATTTTCTCATTCGGATTCCATTATAACACCTGTTAGCATCTTCTAAACAAAAAACTTGTCTTTTGAAGTTTCGGGTGGAGACTTGGCGGTAACTCCTACTACACGAATCAATGGCAAAGCACAACAACGACAATAATAATAATAATAATAATAATAATAATAATAATAATAATAGAAAAATATGGACATCAATTGTAGTTTGGGGCCCTCGGATTGATTGGAAAAGGTTCTGATAGACTCATTGAAGGGATTTTACTGGTAGCCCAGAAAATAAAAGAAATACAAAAAATTGTACACAGCTCAAACATGACGAAGAGTTTTTCTTATTCATGTAAGATACGTGTGATCCTAGGTCTGATTTTTTGGGGATTTTTTTTTTTTTTACAAAAAATGCTCAGTGCAACATGTCTTGAAGCCATTTTTGACCTTAGGTCAATGGCTGGGAACCGGAAGAATTCGATTTCAGAAATAAAAAACAATGTTTAATAATATTTCAACAGTATGTCCGTCTTCTTCATGTTATGTTTAAAAATTGCATACAAGTATAAAAATATGAAAAAATTTATAATTTTTTAAATATTTGTTATATTTTTATGTATGCATGCAATTTTGAAACATAATTTGAAGAAGACAGACGTACTGTCGAAATATTGTTAAACATTTCGTCTTTTCTTTTCTGTTTTTAAATCGCGGTCTTAAGTATTGAAAAATATTGAAAGTCTTACGT